AGTGTGTTTGTAAGCTTCAGTAATGGTTGGTTAAGTGTCAAATAGAGAGCGTGTTTAACAAAGACTGTGACTGCACAGGAAGACATGACGAAGTGAGGAAGCTGAGATGATGAAGTGTTCTGTGTGTGTCCTAACAAAAAGATGGATGCGCAGAAAAGGAGAGAAAGAGAGAGAGAAGGAGAGAGGAGGAGAAAATGTTTAATTGCCATCGTATTTGGTGTGTACTGCTCAGTGTGTGTGGGCATGCATGCATCTTCCCTATAGACAGCGTGAGTTGTTAGCAGACTGTTTGAAAATCTCATTATCTGCCAAACAATGCTGCCTAATAACTTGTCCGTTACAACTGCGCCGCTCTCTGAATTGAAGAGATGTGAAGAAAATGACTATTGCTCAGCAAGCAACCCTGCACAGTGTTTACTGTGAACACCAACAGTGGCCTATAGTGGTTACCACTGTACCTCAGCCATGGAGGTAATGATTTAACATTTTGATTCATAAGTCACATTTGTAGTCAATTTGCATTGTATACACAATTTAGTTACATACTCAAGTTTACAATGCATCATTTTTCTCTGCACACCCACACATTTTCACATCACCAAGTGTGCTGTCTTATTGCAAACATTGAATACAGCCTCCTTACACTGTTAGATGAGAGTGAAAAATGTGAATGGCAACGACCATTCTGAATAGCTTGGTTATTACATCTATTGGGTATTTCAGTGAAGCTTCAGTGCAGGTGCTCTCTTAAGCCAAGTGTCCTTTCCCCTACTGAGCTGCATTGTAAACTAAGATGTGGTAGAAGATGCTACTCAATGGCAGACATGGGGGAAAGTCACACATGTGCAAGTCACAAGCAAGTCTCAAGTCTTTACCTTCAAGTCTCAAGCAAGTCCCAAATTAGTTGTGGTGAGAATCAAGCAAGTCAAGTCAAGTCTGTGCTATGAGTCAAGCAAGTCAAGTCGAGTCATTGCTCAGGTCAAGCAAGTCATGAGTCAAGTCATATGTCACATACAGCAAACATCTCCTCATGGTCTGCTAGCTACATGTTGTCTGAATATGCTGTGAAAAAGTCTGGTCTGTGTAGGCAGCCCAAGCTCCGCAAATGGCAACAAAAACATTTGGGTCCAGGCTGAACCAACCAGGCAGTGAGAGACTAGCGGAAGCAAGCACACAAACATGAATGCCGTGCCCATGTCTCACGGTCTCAAGCAAGCGCGCACACGTAAACACGGTGTTCAAATGAAGTTTTTCCAAACAACTTTTTATGTCGGGGCTTCAGGACACTAAGATCACCATGGACGAGCAGTATGGAGATATTTTGTGGTTTCAATTATGTGTTTTTGGACGCGCCATAAGCCTCCATTAGGTGGAGTTTTGTTGCTACCTCCTCTCCCCTTGGATCTCCACAAGTGTTGTGATGACTCTAAAACTTCACCTGGTCCTCCATCAGCATGAGGATGAGTAGATAATGGGTGAATCTTCATGTTGGGTGCACCATCCCTTGAACAGGTGTGTAAATCCAGGGTAACTAGCAGCTATCGCTCGTTCATGACAGAATCACAGAGGTAGCGTGCCTTTAATATTGAATTAAAGCCAAGTCCTTTTGAGTCATCTGTCTCAAGTCAAAGTCAAGTCTCAAGTCATGAATACAAAGTCAAAGTCAAGTCGAGTCTTTTATCAACGTTAGTTGACAGAAATCACAAGGTTCCCATGGTGATGGGAAACCTGGAAAGTCATGAAATCCCACATTCTGACTTTCTGGAAAAGTCAAGGAATTAGTACAATCTTTGAAAGTTTTGGAAAAATCATTGAATTGTGTCACGTGGATAATCTTCCACGTAATGTAACATAATTTATTTTCTGTAGTTGTTGACGAAGCGTACTGTAGGTCTAATATGCGTGGATATGTGACGTTTTGTTTGCCATCACTTTCGTTTCTTTAATTTTTCCCCATGTCCTGTCTCTCCCTCTATCTATGTTATTCATTCATTCATTTTCCGTAACGGCTTATCCTCTTGAGGGTCGTGGGGGGGCTGGAGCCTATCCCAGCTGACACTGGGCGAAAGGCAGGGTACACCCTGGACAGGTCACCAGACTATCACAGGGCTGACACATAGAGACAGACAACCATTCACACTCACATTCACACCTACGGACAATTTAGAATCACCAATTAACCTGCATGTCTTTGGACTGTGGGAGGAAGCCGGAGTACAAACCCAGGTTGACATAAGGAGTACATGCAAACTCCGCACAGAAGGGCTCCCTCCCCCAGGTCCGAACCAGGAATGCTCTTCCTGTGAGGCAACAATGCTAACCAGTGCATCACTGTACCGTCTTTTCCATGATTGTTAGCTAGCTGCAATTATGTCTGAATAGAGTCTGAATCTGATGTTTGACTCATGCCAGGCAAGTGGGGCAAAAAAAATTATGTTGTGACAGTCTGATTTAACATGTTTCCATACCTATGCCCCACTACTACTTTTAGATTGTATTGCATTTTTGAGATTGAACAACTGACATAGGCAGCCTTGGGTGTTAAGTTGTGTCTCAGAGCACCAATGTGCACTTTGGTTTTTGTTTTAATTCCTCTCTAAGCAGAGTCCGGTAGTTCGAAAGTAAGAAGCTTTTTTTAAATTTTTGAATAAATTAATAGGCTAACCAAACTGTCAGCAGTCACTCCCCCCTCTGTGGGAGCTCTACTGCTCCATGTCCACGGACCGCCTATTATAATATCATGAACATCTGCAGTAGAGTGTAATATATGGTGGTAATGAAAATTTTATTATGGGTCCTTGAGAAGTCATAGAAAAGTTTTAAAACTTTGTCCATGAAAATGTGTGGGAACCCTGAAATTAGCTTTTCTCCCCATGTCATTGTCAGACAGCTTGAAATTCTCCCTAAAATGTGAGCACACTTCTAATCTCGTCTAGTCTGAAAAAGTCTTATATGAATTCCTCTGTGGCTGCAGTTATTGCATTTGGATTTCTCATCTAGTGCTGTTTTTTGATGTGAGAAAGACAAATGTTCGAATCTTTTTTGTTAGAAAAGAAAAAGCTTTCTTCTACCATCCCATGGCCAATGAATCACACACTCGCCACCCACTTCCTTGCTGGATGATCATGATTAATGTACTGGTTAACATTTCCATACTTGTTAGCCCAAAGCAGTATCAGTCATCAGTCAATGGTTAGAAGCTCTGGGGCTCAAGGAAGTTGGTTGTATGCTGCGATCTCTCACATTCCAGTGTTTGTAAAGCGAAGTAGTGAAAGGAGTGCTTCTGTCACATTCAGTGTGAGATTCGGACAGTGAGTGCGGAAAGTGTCATGGTGCTGGCTCTGCGAGAAATCCTTGGGTAAAACCTTGAGATAGTTCTTTGATTCAGTTTGTATGTTTCCTTTTATTATAAAACTACAGCTGCAACTGTGTTCGAAAATCTCTGGAGACTTCACCATTGTCAAGGAGCAGGATATCCAGAATAGTTACAAACGGATTTTGCTATTTTCAAGGTTCCAAGTTCCAAAACATTACAATGCTAATATGCCAACACTGCAGCGACACACCCCTGTACTAAAAGTCATAATACTTATTTGTCCTAAATGTTCAAGAACAATTACAATGAATGGACTAATTACTCTTTGAACAGCAGCTAAACAAAGTAGTTGCTAGGCAACTTGTATTTGTGGAAGCATTGTTGATTGGTGCAGTTATCACTGTATTATCTACCATTCACTGTTATTTCCAATGAACTGTGTAAGTGTTTTTCTCAGGTTCTTAATGTGCAGTGATTATCTGTTTGATAATTTGTCTTATTGCACTGCATGATGTCATGTTCCAGGAGTCAGTCCTAAAGTCCAGCCGGCGCACTTGCCACCCTTCCCGGCTCATTCAGCGCCGCAGTTATAATCACCCATAGCTAATTAAGGAGCTTATGATATTTCCGTAGAGTTCCCTGCAGTGTGACTTGTGCAGCTGTAGCCAAACGCTATTGATTGTGGCTGCTGGTGTTTGTATCTTGTTTTTTCTGCACATCGCCCCCACGGGCATTGAGGGCTATGATGTGTCATAAAGATGAAGGCTAGGGTTTACATTATGTGGATCTGGTGTGTGTGTGTGCATGCGTGCTTAACCTTGAGGGTTTAATTCTCTTCAGAGTGAATCACTACCCTTTTTGACTCTTAAGTCCTATGTTGTTTGATTAGATATGCATTATTCAGGCCTATTTTCAGCTGATATTTCTCCACTGCGCTGATTCTGACATTTACAAAATTGATACAGCAGTGACACATCTTTAGTGGTTCCCACCAATTTCACTGAACATGCATTGGGGGCATGTCCAAGGAGGAAAGAGAGGGGAGGAGTTAGTAAAGGACATGAGAGGAGGAGACAGAGCTAGGTGGAACTGTGATGCTCTTCACAGCATCATGCTAATGAGGAGGATTATTATGTCCCCCCCTCAGGCAGTGGAGGCAGACAGAGTGGGTGTGGGCGCAAGTGTGTTTCACTGTTGACCGTGTGATTTGAGTATGAGGCCGTTAGTGTTGGTGTGCATGATAAACCTCACCTTTGAAAAGTGATTCTATTTGTTGCTTTGACATCTTTACTGTGTCTCCACTTTATTAGGTACTCATCCCTATTTATGAAAATAGCCTGCTCGTCCAGTCACTGAGTCACATAAACAAAGAAGGTATATAAAGTATGCAGACTGGGTTAAGAGGCAGCAGTGTGTGTTCAGAGGTCAGAGGCAAATGTGCTTGTGGGTTTTAAAAACATACGCAGCCACACACACACACAAACTCATCATCATCTGTGCCCCTCATTTCACTTCCTCCCTACACACACACCCTCTCTCCCACCCCCTCTCTTCATCCTCTCTCCTCTCCTCCAGTCCCCCTCCTCCCTGTGCTCCGCAGCAGCCAGTGGTATGCTCCACTCGTCTTCTCTCTCTCTCTCTCTCTCTCTCTCTCTCTCTCTCTCTCTCTCCACTGTCAGCCTCAGCAGTCTCCTCGCTGGAGCCAGACACTGGTGCAGCGACGGTCCATACATACATGCATGTGTGTGTTCTGCGTGTGCCGGGCTCTTGAGAACGCTCACCGTTGGAGTGTGTGCGAGTGTGCGAGCTGATCTGCATGAGAATGTGCATGTGAGCCTTTCTAGAGCATCTTTTGTATGGAGGAGCATGTGCACAGAGTGAGAGACAGCGTGAGGATGCGTGGTGGGCAGGTGTTGTTGTGATCGGTGGAGTTTTCGGTGTAGTATCGTCGTGCCGTCTGCCTCCCCCTCCCTCCAATTTGGTTATCTTGTGAGGGCCAAAAAGCACCCTGCTGGGATGTCCACCTCGCCTGGTGCAACAGACGGGAGCCAAAGGAACTCCTGTAAGTGACTTTTTTTTTCTTCTTCTTTTGAAATTGGGAGTGGCGATCTGTGTGTGTGTGTTTCAGTATGTCAGATGTGTGTCTGGCCAAGGGTTTGCTTGATACCAACCTTGGGCATTCAAACAGAGGGTCTTTATTTTAAAAGGAGACCTGTTCAAGCCACAAGGAGGACAGTGAAACAACAAATATGTTTATTATTGTTAATGTGGTCATAACAAGTGAAATACAGAATGCACTTTACATTGGCAGCAGGAATGAGTGTGACATCAGAAACATAGTGAGTGGGAGTGAAGAGTTTGATTGTGTAACACAGCATGTATAAGGGACAATGATGTCTATGATAGTAAAAGTAAAGGGGGGTAATGCATGAATGTGTGTGTATACTTGTACATGTTTACATGTTGGAAAGAGAGCTTGGGGGAGGGATGTGACGTGGGAGTGTGTGGGAGCATGGCTGAGTGTGTTTACATATTCCCTGGAACGCCTCCAGCTGACGATCCATTGGAAAGGAGCTGTGCATCGATTGACAACCAGGCCAACTGTATCTCTTCAGGAAGAGGGAAAAGACCAGATGACTTGCTGATGTCATTCACTACTGTCAAACTAATGAGTGTATTTTGGGAAAAAAAAATAGCACAGTCAGTGTTTTGTTAAACCAAAAACACAAAAAACAGTCATGACAGGATTAAGTCTTTATCTCAGTTTCTGTTTAGCTAAATTAATAATTAATTAAGAGTGAAGTGCTGTGTGTACTGCCTTTTTGTAAGTGTGTGTGTGTATATCCACTTTATGTCTGCACTGTGTGTAGCAATAACTTTACAGGGCAGTGCAGGCATTGTGATAAAGGCATATGGCTATAACGTTATATTGTGGAGTATCAGTTATTCAGTGGGTGAAAGTGTGTGGGACCGCTCTGCAGTTTTAATGTTTGACTTCATTCTGGCCTCAAGCAATGTGCACACACACACACACACACACACATACACACACACGCATGCACACACAGACAAAACTGTGTACTGTAAGTGGGTGATTGATAAAATGATGTGACTCATTTTGACTCATCTGAGAGCTCAGTGGGAACATACACACAGAAAATCTCCCTCTCACTCACACACACATACACACACACACACACACACACATTGAATGCCTTGACTGAGGCACAGATCACATCTGGGAAAATGGGTCTCCTTTTATTGCTTTCATTATTATTGCACCATCCCCCCCTCCTTCTTCTCGCTTTCATTCCCCTTCTGCCTCCTGTTATTTTCAGGATGTTATTTACTGCCCAACCTTGCATATAACTCGCCTGGAAACCTTTTTGTGTGTCTGGGTGATGAGTTAATGATCACGCACTGACACACCCACCCACAGCAGATACCTATGTGTGTTTATGTCTGTGGGCTTGTTGAATATAATTACATCATTGTGTGTTCAGTTATTCGGCTGAGTAATATGCTCGCTTATTGTTGTATAACTCTCCGCTCTCACATGTTTAGTTCTCGGCTGCTTCTTGCTGTTGCACTTGACCAGTTTGTTCCTTGTCAAGACACATCCATCACATTACCTTCTTACAGAGCAGTGCCTTCAAACGGAAATATCAAGTGGCCACGGGCTACAATTACTGATTTACTAACCGTAATGTTACATAACCAAACGCAGCATCTGAGGAAACAAGTCAATAGTAAACAGAGATAAGTGTCGAAGACTGAACAAATCAAAAAAATGGGAATGACTTAATTACGCTGAAGATTTTTTTAAGTATGTCATATTTCCATTTTATGAGTTGTGTTGTGCTTTGGTGTGAGTATCAAAGCAACATGCTCACACAATGCCAGATTAGCAAGAATAATTTATGATACTCATTAAAACATCAAATAAAAGGCTTACGGTGCTCATTTTGCTGATTAAAAACTGCAACAAATAAGATATTGTAATTACATAATGCTCACCAATTGATACAAAAAAAGAACATAGTCACGGGCTATTTATGGACTTAAACTTTAAAGCCCTTTATTCGTAAGGCAGTAATATTTTTAGATAAGACAATCAGTGGCGTTTTTTAATCTCTGTCCCAGCAGCTTGACTCAGTGTGGTATTATCACAGTGTAGTGCTGCTGCAGAGCGCTCTCTCCCTCTGTTAGCTTGTGTCCTCTGTAAAGGAGCAACAGCAGGCACCTGCCACTGAGATGGATGTGCTGTGTCATCACTTCTGCCAAATGATGGCTTGCTTCACCTCTCCTCTCCTCTTTGCTCTTCCCCTTGTCTACTCCCCCACTCCCCTCCTCCTTTCCATCCCCACCTCCCTCCCTCCCTCTCTCTCTTTTTTGCGCCTGGTTGCTGCACACATCTGCTCTTTTCTCTGCTGGTGTCTCATCTGTTCCTTAATCTCCTCTCCTCTGTATCCCACAGCACTCCTCCTCCTCCTCCTCCTCTTCCTCCTCCTCCTTCTCTCTTCTTCTTCTCCTCTCTGCTCTCCTCCTGTCTGGTTTATCTGGGTTCACATGAAACTTTAATTGCATGTAAATCAAAGCGCCGCAGATGTGATTAGTCTTTTGTGCTGCTTTAATGAGTGGGGTCTGGACTATTGAAATATGGTACAGTAGCTGGCTCCTGCACTGCCTCTGATGGCTTAAGCCACGGGCAAGCTCCACTTTTAATGCTGCCAGAAGAAACCTTGAAGTTTTCAGGGATAACGTGAAAAAAAATATAGCTGAGAGGATCTTGGAAAAATCTGAATTTGCTTATTCTTAAATGCTAATTTGTCTTGCAGTTCGACTCCCTGCTTAAAAATCAGCATGAATATTCAGCTCAATTCCTAAAATGGTATTTAATGGGTTTTAAAAGTGCTCATTACAACAATATCAACAAAGTATATATGTGCGTGTAGGCAGGCTAAGGATATGAGAAGAATTGTGTTGGGCTGACATTTTAAAATGATAATTAGCATGCAGTCTACTCATTCTGATCAGAAACTGGCATGTAATTGTGTAATAGAAAAGGTAGCAGTTTCTGAGATGTGACATTTAGCAGGCGGCAGCACAGAGGGTGCTCGAGTTTTTTTTCATGTCCAACCAAATATTTGCTCCTGCTGAAAAGTTTAAACACTTACTGTAATTGACACGGTTTCTGCCAAGTGACGACGGTTGTGTTGACTTTTTTGCATCTGTGTGTGTGTGTGTGTGTGTGTGTGTGTGTGTGTGTGTGTGTGTGTGCGCGCACGCTTACATTTCTCCATCCACGCACAACCACAATGCAGTTAACTTGCTAATTAGCGTACTCAAACATCACTCACACAGCATGTAAACACCGACACTGTGTACACAAGTGGATGTGTCTTAATCTGTCTGTTCATTTTCAAGGAGGTCATGCTCCCTTTGAAGCCGCTGACAGAGGTTAAGACTGGAATTTATGGTATTAATTGTCTTTAAAGATGGATTTTGTTCGGAAGATGAAAGAATCTGTGCCGTCCAAGGGTGAAGTCAAGGACGGAGCAGCGCTTGATGTTCATAAAACGTAACAATCGCAATCTAACTCCACTTGTTTCTTTCTTTTTGTTGCATGTGGTATGAAATTGTAATTGGATCTGTGGGCTAAGGTGTCAGTATGCATATGCCATGTGGAGATCTTATAGCATGCCCCCACTGTTGCATAACTGATGCATATGTGCAGTTGCATAAATGTTGAGTTTTATTTCATGCACATGGCCATAAATATGCACACACAGTTGCACACATGCACAGGTATGTACTACAGTGTTTTTCCATGCAGTGACATGGATTACCATTGTGATAATGTTAATAATAGTCCAGCTATCTATCCATCCATCCATTTTCCCACTTATCCTTCAGGGGTTGCAAAAATATCTGCCATGGCTCAGGATTTTCAGATTCACACTTTTTGGATAAAAGGCACGTTATCGCTGCTTTACGTCTCCAACCTTGCTTGCTGTCCTTTCCTTCCACCATTCCTCTCCTCCCCACTCTCTCTCTACCTTGTCCCCACATCTCCTTCCAGTCTGGGTTGCAAGCAGGGTCCACCTGGCTTAACAGGTGTTGTTGGAAAACCCTAAGTATGCTGTCTCCCCTCTTAACACTCATGTTGTTTACTCAACTGTACTACTGCCAGGCTTCCCCAGCGATCTTTACACTGAGATCATCCTTGCTCAGTTAGATTAGGAGGAACAGTCTCACAGCAAAGATGCTTTTGGGATTCGTGCATGTTACAAAGAGTGCCACAGGAGGAGAAAGAGAGTGGAGACAAGGGGAGGAAGAGGAGTGATTAAAGAGTGAAAGAGAGGAGGGGGGAGGGGGGAGGGAGAGGAGGTGGTTGGGTGTGAGAAAGAAGAGAGAGAAGTAAAAGAGGGCACAAAAAATGAGGAGATGAACAATGCAAGGGGAAGGAGGACGACGGAGCAAAGAAAAGACAGCAGAGGAGGAAGAGAGCAGTGCAGCAGAGGAAGGGTAAAATAGAGAAGGCAAAGATAGCAGGTGGAGGATGAAGGAGAGTGGGTGAGGAAACCGAGAATGAGAGTGACTAGAGAATAATAGAAAGAGAATATTGGTAAAGAGGAGGAATTAAAAAGACTGAGCCAAACCAAAAAGCACATTACAGATAATGAAGAAGAAGAAGAATAAGAAGACGTAGGAGAGTAAGACAGGCCTCCACACTATCTGGGAGTCTGCTAATTGGTGGTGGTGGTGCAAAGGTTGCACAGAGATCACACACTGCAGGAAAGGAGAATCTCCAGCCTCTACTATCTAGAGGACATTTCATCCTTTTTTTAAAAAGATAAATGACAGTGGAAACTGAAAAAGTGAGGACCTTGTCACATATAATAAGTGCAGTAATGATGTCAGCTGTAACATATTGTTTGAGGGTTTGGCTCCATGTGCTAAGTGAGGTTTAAGTGGAGATTAACACATTTCATTTAGTGGGATTTTCCGTACCACAATCCACAACCCCATGTTTGTTGGCAACTCCACTACATAATACTT